TCCAGAGTCGGCCTGTCTCTAAAAATGCACAGAGCATGGATTGTTTGTTTCGTTTTTTTAAAAATTGTTGTCAGTATTAGCCTTTTAGGAGAGTTCTTGCATTTTAGATTGGAGAGTTAGTAAAATGCCAGTAAGAAGTTTTATTGGCCAAAATCACTTCTCAGTGGCACAATCTCCTCCCTTGGGTTGGGATTCTGAAAGGAAAGAAAGCAAATTCAAATTATATTCCTTTTAATCTGTGAGATCTGCCCCTCCCACCATCTTATTTTTCTAGGAGCTTAATGGCTGTGTAGGGAAATTTTCCTGTGGGTTAGGATTTCTTGCCAATCTTGCCTTGTGCAGCAAGTGCATATGATTCAGGGGCACCTTATTAAAACACAGAGAAAGTGAAAGTATCAGATACTCATTATGAATCATGACATCTAATGCCTAATGCTGTAAATGTTACTCTGTTGAGTATTTCACCTCCTGTGATCACTATTATTTGTGGGCTAATACTGTGTTATGCATTACGTCCTGTGGTGAACATCTAGTAATAGATCTGTTAGACATCGCTTTGCCCATTTGTCAGTGGTATATGTAAACAATACTAGTTATACATACATGTTTTTTTGGCAGTGCAACTGTCATCCTGCATGTAGATATTCATATTAAAGGCACATATAACTACCCAGGATAACCAGCCATTAGCCTGCTTTTGACACACTTGTGCTTCCCCCATCCAGAAGAACTCAGCTGTTAGCATCAGAAGTTCTTGGTTAAACATGCTGCAGTTAGGAATCATTTACATAAATTGTGTATTGAGGGCATCTGGGGGAAATTGTGGTTTGGGGGACAGGAGATAAGACCAGAGATTTTACAGAGTAAGATCTTTTGGGAGGAAGAGGGAAGTACTGTCTCAGGTCCAGTTGAGAGTGGAACTGTGCTGAGCCAGTGCAGCAGCATCCCAAACCTGCCCCTGCAGAGGTCCCTTAGGCCAGGGTGAAGGTGAATGGGTCTGAGCAAAGGTAATGTAGGATCTCCCTTTCTTTTTTTTAACTCTGGGGCCTCAGGATAGAAGGAGTATGCAAAAGGAGCTCTCAAGTTCTGTGATGTGTATTTCATAGCAAATTTGAAGAACTATTTGTGAGAGGAAGAACTATTCCTTAGGCAACTCATTGCTGCAGGTTTTGTTTTACTGTAGTTCTCAAAATGGAGATTGTTATTTATGTGGCAGTGGCAGGTATGGACTAGCTAAACACTGTAATTTATCCTGGGAAAGTCTTACTGCAGCTTTCTGGTGATGTAGGGTGGCTGGAGGGTGTGGTGCTGCCCAGCCAGCTGTACAATCACAGATACTCTAGGGAGGAGCAGAAGGAGACTGAGAGCTCTGACATGGATGTGAAGTGAGGAGGAGGGATGGAAATGGTGGAAACAGGACTATTTCAGATGCTGTTTGAGATTGACTGACTCGTGTCAGTCTCACTTGGATTCTTGTATTTATGTCTGTAGCCTCTGAACATGGATCTTAATCTGTTTCTAGGCCTGAGGTTTGGGGGAGGGAAGTGGGGGAAGCTGTGGATTGAGAGATGCTCTAATAAAACTGGCTAGTCAATGTTGTCTTAATATTGTTGAAAATTCTGTAAAGTTCCTTTTTATGAGGATTTCTGTTTTAGCAATTTGCTTTTTTTGACTCCCTCCTTTTTAAAGAGAAAATGTGACACTTGTGAAAAGCTTGTAAGAAAAGCAGTTTCTTTTTTCCTCAATGATAGATCCTATAGTTAATTAAGGTTGTGAATTTTTATTTTTTTGCCTTGTTTTTAATTAACATTTGTCATTCAGAATAGGATGTGTGAAAATGTTTAAATGGCAAAACAAAAAGATTTTTTTGTGCAATTAACAAAGCTACTGGCAAAAAATAAAACCTTTCTTGGTAACACAATGTTCTTGTGGCAGTTTCTAAAGCCTATCAAATGTGTATTGTGGCATTAAAGAAATAATGTTCATTAAAACACTCAAAAATCAAGAGTTGCTGAAAACCAGCAGCATGCCCGAGAGCATTTTGGTCATTGCAAAAGCCTGATCTTGTCAGTGAGGCACTACAAAGGATGAATTTGAATAAATTCCAGCCTCCCTATGCAGAGGGCTGTGCAGAGGAGGATGAAGGCTTAGGTTAAAAGCAAAGAATGCTGAGAGATGGAGGTCCGGGAACTTTCTGGTGTTGATGACTTGTGTTGCCTGAGCATTGGGAGCCTGGTAATCTAATTGCTCTGTGTGAAGTATCCTCCTCATGTTTGGGGTTTTTGAGCACTAACTCAGCAGCAAGGGCTTTTTCCAAGACAAGATCCCTTAACTGAAGTGTTTTCAAGTTCAGAATATTGCTTTTTGGTGATCTAGGCAGTGTTTGCTGTCCAACAGCGGGAGATGTTCATTTACTGAGGCGTAATGATTAATGGTGTGCTTTGGTTAAAATGAATTACAGGTGTTAATATAAGGAAAAACTCTGGTTTAGCGCTGTGATTAAAAGCAAGGCCACTGTGACAAGTTGTGCTCGCAGCAGAAACTGGCACTATCAGAAGTGAATGAATAAACTTCCCTTCTATGGCCCATCTTGCTCATGGGATGAAGATGATGAGGCTTCCTTGGTCACCCCTCACCCACAGCACATACACTCTGAAAAGGAACCCACCAGCTTTAATCCAGAGCCTTCCAGGTCAGTATAAACTTATTTCCGTTCCAAAATTGGACAAGAAACTGATGACTCTTCCCCATCTTTACCCGTTCTTGAGGAATTGTAGCTCAAGTTTAACTGCTACGCGGGGAGCTCTGGCTGTAAGTAGCTCAGACTGAAAAAATTCTTCCTGCTGCACCACCGGCAGCACCCGCAGGGCCCCTGGCAGGCCGAGCTAGCGGCGGGGCGGGCCCCGGGTCTCCGGCCCCCCTGCGCCGCCTCCCGCCGCCAGCTCCCGCCCGCCT